CCACCGTGGCGGAAATTCAGTGATTCATCGGCGACAGAGGGGGAAGGAGGCGGAGACTCCGGTATCCCGGTGTCCCGGTATCCCGGACACTCCCCCGTCTATCCCGACCGGCCGAGAACTTCCCGTCGCGGCGATGAGGGAACATCCAGGAACATCGGCGAACATCCCTTCGAGTTCCCGCTCCCGAGGATCCCTAGGGATGTCCGGGACGCTCGGGGAGTTCCTTAATCGCCCGCTAATCTTACGATTCGCCTAATGTCCCGCTCCGGCAATTACGATCCGATCTCGTGCCGAATCACCGCTCGCATCGAGATCGTCCCGGCAAATTGACGTCATTTTATAATAATTTAATTTGCCGACTGGGATGAAAAAATTCCCGAGTTTTTTAAACGTCGGTCAACTCGTGAGGTTCGACGAGGTAGTTAAATGCCGGTTAGGTCAATCGTATTTAAGTAATTGCAAGTAATTTTCATAAGCTCCATTAATTAATTTTAATTAATTCCCAGGACTGGGAGAGTGGATTCTCGGGTGGGGGTGGCTCCGGTATTCCGGACTCCTAGATCCTCCCTCCTCTGTCCTGACCCCGCGGGGCGGTCGCGAAGTTCCCCTTTTGGTGATGAGGGAACATCCAGGAACATCGGGGAACATCCCTTTCGGGTTTCCACGCGCGAGGAATTGCCGACCCGAATCCCGGATGGATTATCCGGGACGAATGGGAAGCCCCCTTAATCGCCCGGTAATCTTTTGATTCCCCTAACGTCCCGGCCTGGCAATTATGATCCGATTCCAGACCGAGTATTCGTATATCACGGATAGGATGATTTCCCGTCGGCGAGATGTTTCCCCCCGCGTTAAATGGATCGAATAATTTTCCCGTCGACCGACTCCCTCGGCCCCTCCTCCGCGAACATAGTGGCGGGACGAATTCGGTTAACGAGAATTTTCTTACATTTTCCGAACGCTCCGATTAATATCTCACGTAATTGGCGTCTCGATTGCCCCATCGGCCCTCCCTTCGAATCGTTTGCCACGAAGAATTAAAAGGAGGTCCCTCCCTCCCCGAGAAAACTGCCGCGTGTGCGGTAAAGTGCAAAGCTGAAACCCCGTCTGTAACTACCGCGTTCCATTTTTAATTAAACCGGGAAAAATACGAACGAGTTAATGCGCCCCGATTGCTTCTCTCCTGGGATCATTTCCAAACCGAGTCATCGCTTTGGAGGAGAGCCATCGACTCGAAAGGAGCGCGGTTGTCCTTTCCGCTTGCTAAGCTCGTTACGTGATCGATCGACGGGAATATCCGATATCCGAAAAACCACCCACCACCCCCGGCCTCGTCGCAAGGCGTTCCCGGACCACGAGGGAGCAGGAAAAATTCGGCAACCACCCTCTCTCGTTGTCCTCGGGCAAACAACGATGTTTACTTGAGCGATCTATCCCCTCGTAAGAAGGCGACCGGAACAACAAGACGGGGACATAAATTAAGCTCGCGAGATCGAGGCCGCGGAGTGCAACTCCGCGAGGGTCTCCCGAGGGTGGGGTTCCTTAAAAGCGGAGTTTCCCGAAGAAAAAGGAGCGGTTTAACGGGGAGCAAATGAACGTAGCGGAAGTACCGAAAGCAGGGGATTTCGACGGGGATCCGGGGGCGATTAGTATGCAGCCCGGCGTGTTGCGTGCCCTTCCGCTTTTTCTTTACGTTTCCCGTTTATTTCCCGGTCCGCGATTCCCGCGTCGCGCGCTATCGCGAGCTTTCCGCCGCGTTTCCTCGGCGTTTCCTCCCCGGGGGTCCAGGACGGTCGGGACTTCCGGCGGCCCCGGTCGCGGTCTCCTTTATATTTTTCCAAGGTGGCTGCCGGCCGAACTTATCTCGGAACTCTTTGCGTGCTCCAGGCCCGGGGGCCAACCCCCCCAAGACGGGCGGGGGCAGCGGAACTCTTCTTGTTTCCGTCGCCGTTGATTGTGGCCGAGCTTTTTCCGTGCTCTCGCCGGCTAACTTGGCCGTTTAATTCGAGAGGGGGAGGAGGAAAAACCGAAAGCGCCCTGCAGACCCCGGGGGAGGGGTCGGGATAACATCGATGCATCCCCGGAGCCGAGCTCATCCCCCTCGACTCCCGGGGAGACATCCCTCGCCTAGACAAGGGTGTCCGGCCGACCGCGAGGATCCGCTCGCGGTTAAGGTGAAGTGAAACACGTCGAGGAACTTGGTCGACGTAGATAAAGAAGATTTTTCTAAATGCCTACGTTGCCGACGTTGGTTATTATATCGACAGCTGGGTCGAATTATATTGGGTATTGTACCGAATGGCATACTCCACCTGTCGTTTTCGTACAATAATTATAAAGAAATCTAAGTAAAACTCCAGAAATCCTCTGGATTCATGCTTTCTGGGGCCCTAATTGACTGCAGAGGGACCCCCTGCGCCATCTGTGATTTCCAGGTCAATTAAATTTTCACTCCGAGACCTCGTATTCCCATCGTTTTAGCATAGAAGCGCATACAACACTTTTTTTGCCTTTGTCCCATTCAAATGCGAGTTTATCGATTACCAGAGTGTTCTAAATTGTCGTAAAATTGTCCCGACCCTTTTGCTTCTCATATCAGAGCCTTCGATAATTGTATATTGATCGAAATATGAGAGCTCGACGGCATTTTAGTTCTGGTCTGGGCTGAATTAAAAAATGTTGTTTAAAAATCCAAATCTTGAATGTATCAGGACAATTCTTAGATGATCAGGAGGGATGTGTCAAAGTTTCGGACAGTTTGGTCTAATACCCTTAAAAATAAGTGTTGTATTCGAATCGACTGATTTGAAGGGGGTTTCACTTCACCTTAAGGGCTCCGCGCACGTCTCGCCTCGCCCGGGACCGATCTCGCGTCGAATCGGGAAAATTGAAAACCTGAGACGAGCCAGGGAAAGGTCCGGCGAGACTTTCCGCAGCTTCCGTCCTGCTTTGCGAGCCGATGCGCGATCGGGGACTCAAAGTTTCGCGACGCGTCCCGTCGACGGAGATGTACCGTGAGCGGAGCAACGACATTTAGGTACCACCGATTACGCGAAGCGCGAGTGCGAGGACGCGTAACCGAATCGAAGGTAAAGGGGGTGGATTCGAGGGCATCGCTCCCAAACGGGAGCAAAGTGCGGCCCTTTCTCTGGATTAATTTATCGGCCCGTTCCTCGACCGACGCTTTTATTGCCGCGGTACATTTCGGGGCATCGAACGCTTTTACGACGCAGGAGGTTGGGGCCGGTTGCCTGCAATCGCCCTCGATGGGGTTGCCTAGGATGAAGGTATTCGTAGTAAATAATTGCGCGATGGGTATTTGATTGGGGAAATTTTATGTATACGTGGGGGTGAACAAGGTGGACGATGGCCAAGGAGACCGTGCCGCCGTATGGGGTACATCAGGGTGGATGATCTAAGATCCTCGGAGTCGCTTAAAGACCCCGGCGATGAATAACTTCTCGCGGTCCCAGATTCCTTGGAAAAGCTCCCGTATAAGTGTACCGAGCGATTACATGGAGGGTGAAAATTCAACCGCCCCTGCACGTATACGTCTTTCCGACTGCAGCTGCACGATGCGGACCGGCGGACCTTTATATCATCTTTGCGGTGGTATATGCCCGCACGAATGCTATCCTGGGGTGGATTACACCCCCTCGAGAAATAGGGCTTTCTCCGGAAATGTAAGGGGACGAGTCGCAATTTATTTCCCCGGCATTTTCTGAATTCGAATTTTTCCCCGTTTTCCTTCCCCTCGCTTTCTTCCGTCCCTCTCGGATTGCGCGCACTTCTCCGGAGGAGGGTGTCGCGTTATCGCGGTGCATTGAGGTAATTCGTGGTAATTCATGGTAATTCGAGGTAATTCAGGGTTGGAAATTTAGGATCCCCCACGGGACTATGGCTCGTCCCTAGGAGCAATCTTGCTCGCAGCGATTGGTAACTTTGCCGAGGCTCGAGATCGGTGCATTGTTTAAAACGAATCGAACAGGTATTGCCCGACGATTTGCAATTTTCAGGTGATGGGGTAGTTTCATTCGCAATCCCGTCTACCGGCCGAATGCGGCAAATTGATTCGCTGAAGTATTCAGTACGCAGGGGTGCACCTGCAGATCGGTGCCCCTCCCCTGGCACGTGGATTTATTAAATATTAATTTACGCGGTGCACTCCGATTATTTCAAGCGCTGTCGCGTATTTTAACGAGCGTGCGGAATTTACCGGGCCGGCCCTGCGGAATCGGTCCGATAATTACAACCGGAGGCTCCGTTCTTTCGCGCAGTCCCTTCTTTTTTTTTTTTTCCCCCTCACTCTCTCCCCTTCACTAATTATAATAGCACGAGTCACTGGTAAATAATTTCGGTCATCTCGGAGCAATTAGTAACCGGACCAACGAGCGTAATTGCCGGCAGCTGGAGCGCCGTCGATTTGTCGAGCGAGGCACCTCTATTAATATCAAGCCCCGATACAGTCAAACGTACGATTAGCGGAAAATAATTATTTCCGACTGATTCCCGCCATTTGTATCGCGATCCTCTTTCCGCCCTCGTTAGCCTCTCCTCCCCTCTGGCTCAAGTTTTTTCCTTTTCGGAAAAACATGGACGGCGTTTCCTTTCGCGGGGTCGCGAGGTCAGGTGATCCGATTACGGTTAATTAGTGTGCATACACAGTCCGGTCGGTGCGTCGAAGGACGTAATTACAGGGCTCGTCGCGGCGACGGCGCCGACGCTCCAGGACCGGAAACCGCGCAGTCGTCGGTCCCAGGACGAGGTCTAATCTAAATGGAAATTGGAAAAACGCGGGAGGTACGAGTCGCGCGGACAGTTGGAAACTTTAACGAGCAATCCTCGCACAATTTTTCCATCTCCCAGAAATTCGTCCTGGCGACCGATCGACCGATGCCATCGGTTTCGCAAAATAAGGAGTCTCCTCGAATTCGCGTTTGTCCTCGACGGGATCGAGGGATCTCTCGAAAGAAACGAACCCTTCCCCGGGAGGAACTCACCTGGATGACTCGGGACTTGTTCAGGATAGTGTTTCCCGCCGGCTGAAAGCGCTCCATGTCCCTCAGGATGTTCCTCACGGAGAGGTCGTCGGCGTCGACCAGTCGGAAGGCGGTTATGTTGACGAAATTGTACTTGAAGTCCTCGAGGTCGAAGGTCTCGATGTCCTGAAAGTGCGAGCGAGCCTTCGTTTATCCAGGACTCGGGGTCCTCGGAGCCGGTCTTTCCAGATCCCCGACACGGCTCGAGATACTTACGAAAGTCGTGAAGAGGTAGTGGTATTTGTAGTCGTTCATTTGCAGCTGCAGGATCTGAAAGAGGACACTCGGATGAGAATGGACAGCCCTCCGGCAGGATGTGCGCCCGCGGAAATTGTAACGTATCGTTGGTTTACACCGAGGTGTCCGGAAGAACGGCTCCGCTGACCCCTCGCGGCGTAAATTTAACGCCTCTCCTCATGTAGCTTAACGTAAAACGAAACGAGGGCACCAGAGACCGGGAAAAGGATCTCGGGAGCCAGGGTGGTCCAGATGGAACGAAGACCACTTTGCTCCCCGATCGGGGTAATGGACGAGGTATGGTCTCGGGGTTACTCACCATGCGTAGAAAATGGTGCATATTCTCGGGTTTCGTGTCGATCACGAGGTTCCGGATCTCCTTGGACTTCATCTCGGAGAGGACCTGTCGGTAAGACTCGGGATCCGCCTGTCGGAGGTAGACTTCCACCTCCCTGGGCTTCGGGAACTTGGCCAGCTCGCGGAGCTTCACCAGACCTTCGGCAGAGACGAGGGATCGCACAATTAGCTCGAGAAAATTCAAGACCCAGTCCATTTTTCCCCGGATTCAGGGCGCCGTGAAATCGTCTTCGAGGCTTTTCTTATGGAAGAGACCGGTCGCATTAAACGCACGGAAACCCGTGAATCGCGGCATCACCCCTTCCTTCCCTACAATCAGATCAATACTCCGAGCGCCCTAAGTAATCAAGGTATCATCTCGACTTGTGGGTCTTCCACGGGTTCGAGTTCGTTCCCTTCCAAGTTTCCGAAGGAACTCCGGGACCCGGGGTTGAACAAACCCCGGGGCCATCCGGAGGTGACGCGAGGTCCTGCTCCCAGAGCCACGACGTTAATTCAACCCTAACTCTCGAATATTAATATCGACGGAGAAAAATCCTGAAGGTTAAGTTCTCGATATGGCGAGTTCGAGGGTAAATCTCTACCGTCGGTCGGGATAATTGGCCGAAGAGCTCGCAAGGATGCTCCGAAGGTGGTTCCTCGGGAAGGACAGTGATTTCTCCTGGGACAAAACCGGGGTCTTTTGGATTCGAGGACTCGGAAGCGGATTACGGATGGAATCTAATTTATTTTCTAACGGTACGGGTTAGGATCACGGTTTCTTTCTCGTTGTCTAATAAGCCGATTCCCATCGAAACGAGGGGAAGCCGAGGAGGAGGGTAAACCCAGGTCGTAAAGGGACCCCGTTTCTCACGATTTGGATAACAAATCGGCCGGGTGATTGCTGGTTCAGGGTCGAAACGGACGGTAAAAAGCGAATGGCAGGGCGAAATGGAATGCTCGACGAGTTTGTAAAAGCGCCATAATGGTGCGTTTTTTACGCATCGCCCGGGAGATGACTCGAAGGTGGTGCTTATCGGCGCCACCCGGGACGAGGATCGAACCGGAGCTTCTTCGGTAAGACCAGCAATTCCAATCTCAATATTATCCAGGTTGAAAAAAGTGAAATCGTAAAGTCTAGTCGTCCTCGGCTGGCCAATGGTCTTGTCCGGTTAGAGGAGGCCGCGTTCTGGCCGCATCTCGACTATAAGGCCCCCCATTCGAGTAGCTTGCAGGCCGCGTTCGGTCTTGGCCATCTCGTCGGGGGAATTTCTCGTTGGTCGGGTGGCCATTGGCCAAGCAACGGGGGGGTGGAATCGAATTTAGCCGGGGCCGCACCCAGGACGCGTTTTCCATTGTGGCGTCGGCCAGGGTACGCGCGGATATTACAGCCGGGGGGTCCTTTGGAAACGTTGCTCGCCCTGGAATTGCTCCTAAGCCCGAAGCCCGGGACGAAGGCTGCGTTTCCCTTACGTCTCGCGAATCCCAAATGAGCCTCGACGCTCCATTTGACGGCCATTGTCGGATTCCGCGGATTTTTATTTATCAACGTCTCTCCGGCAGTGGAGGGTCATTCGTGGCCGCGGAATACGTCCACGAGGCGACGAGTTGAAATTCGAATCGACCTCTTTTAAGATCTTCGAGCAGGTGCCCCGTGGCAGGTGGAGCATTCCCATGCGTATGCATCTCCACGGGGGATTTATAAAGTGCAGAGTTACGTATACGTCGAACGACGTCCTTGCGTTCGAGCACGCCCGATGCGTCGCGACGGTTCCTTCGGAGCGTTCCGAGCAAACTCGCGTCTCGGAAGCGGAAAGAGGAATACGTCGCATTAACAACGACGAAGAGCGTATCCCCGCGCCCGTCGTTAACCCTCCTTTTGAGAGCCCAAAGGTGGAATTCGCCCGAAGATACGTCGAGGTCCCGATAAACCAGCCAGCCCCGGAATCATCCCCCTTTTGTCGGATCCTGTCGAGACTTCGAGGCGGCCGAAGACACTCCGGCCCTCCTTTCCCTCCCTTTTCCCCGAATTTAAGATTTCATCTCGAAATTCGACGCTGCACATTTTCCCCCGAGTTAGTCGGCGGTCCTCCGGGGACTCGGTCTCGGTAAACAAAAATACCCTCGGAGTGGAAACCCTCCCTTTTCGTTCTCCCCCGTACCTTTCCGCCCTCGAGGCCCGGAGACAGGGAAGAGATCAAATAAATAAATCGAATCGCCGGGAGCGAGCGGCACACCTGCGGTGCATCGGAGTATCGGGATGCACTCGCCCGTGTGCGCCTGCAAGTGCAACTGCAAGCTCGCAGGTAAGATCGCCGCAGCTGCTCGATCGAGAGCCGAACGCGTACACGGGGCTTTAGTACCGAATAAAGTTCCCTACAGCCGTGGATTCCCTTGCCCCCCCCCCCCTCAAAGTCGGAAATCGGAGCATCGGATTCAAGATGCTCCGAGATTCATTTGATCCCGTTAATTCGAAATTTTAATTTTAAGAAATCATCCCTCCGACTCGGTATTCAATTCCTGACTCCTAGAGCAAGGAGGAGTCTCTTATCCCCGAGGGAAAAGGAGGAATTCCGGGAAAGTCTCGTGGGAAGTTCAATGAACGAGGTCATCCTTGGAGGGGAGGGGGGCTCGTGGCTCCGGGATGTCGAAATGGTGTATTTGGCGGGGACGCACAAAAGAGAGGCGGCTCGTATCTCCTCGGGTATCGATAGATTTTACTAGGTTCGAATGGATTCTCGGGGTGGCCCATGAGCCGGGGATGATTGGATAAGGCTGTTTCGCAGTCAGACAGCGCGTGACTTCGAAAACGTATTCCGGGTGAGTGCGTCCCCTGCGTGACTGCACTCCACCCTGTCTCATCCTTATTTATGCCGGCCCGACCGAGGAGCGAATTGCGCGCATACGCAACGGCCCGAGAGAAGGACGAGATGCGTCGTCCGTTGCGTTATCTCTGGTCTTGCACTTTCCGGAAGATCGAGACCAAGACCGAGACCGACTTCGCCGTTCCCGAAGGAGAGCCATCTCGATCCTCCGGTCGAAGGGGCCATTTATGCCGGATTATCCGGCATAACCGAGGATGGTCCGAGGTGGAACGAGTCCGGAAACGTGTACCGGGCGGACGAACAACCCCATAAATCTCTCGTTACAGGGATCCCCGGGAGTTCGACGGGGGTTGAGTCCAGGAGTGGCTCCAGGAGGCGAGGATCTTCCCGAGATTCGACGGGGAGGTTCTAATCGACGCGGTCGCGACGTCAGACTGAATTCGGGACGATCAAGGAGGGCTCGTCGACGCGGTTACGTCCTCGAACAACCCTTGCCGGACTCCTCTTCGGGACCATCGAAATGGTCCCATTGGGGCGAGGAGGAGGCGGCTCGAGTGATGAGAAAACACGGAAGAAGGAATTCTAATGGGGATTTCAATCCGCGCGCGGACCGCCGACAGTCGGCTTTCCTTTTTATTTTATCTCTCCAATTTCTTTGCATTCATTTTCTTACTTCCTACAGATTACACTTCGGGGGGAATGGATGGCAGAACAAACCGGGAAGACGTCGCGATGGGACGGTACTTTGAAAAAATTCCCGATGGAAGGCAAAGAGAGGATCGAGGGTGCGATAAATTAGAGGCTTTTGTATTTCGGTAACGATTGTTCATAGAGTTTCGATTACTTTCCTTTTTTTTTTGGTTTTGAAGACTGAAAATCATATCGATCTGAAATCAGTGCACGCTTTAGCGGCTCAATGTATTTCGTTTTTTGTCCCTCTAATTCCTCCCGGTTAAATGCACCTGGCAGAACGAGGCAATCCGATCTCGCGGAGGAAAGCCGAGCCCGCTCGCTCGAGCGATCGGCGACACGTGGGAGAAAAGTCAGCTGTGGAAACGTCGAATCAAGAATGAAATCCATCGTTAATACAGATACTCGGCGAGCCCGGGATAAATTCGTCCCGTCTGCCTTCCGAATAAATATCCCGAAAGTCGGCGAGCCGGTTTGCCGCTAACGCGAATTACGTATAATTTAATTTCTGGAAAAATCACGGGGGGGTACCTTTCGAAGTTTCCTGGCGGAAAAAGTGGAGGAGCCGGTACGGGTCGGACGAGTCACTTTTGTATCCCGGGGTCGCGGATCGAGATGGATTATGCAGAGCGATCGCAGGAAGGGAAGCGACCGAACCGTGGTATCCTTTGCATAATTCATTATTTCTAAGGACTCCTCAGTGAATCCTATCGGGAGGTGAGAGATGGACCTTTCCGGGACATCCATTGCCGGGACTTTCTCAGGGAATGGTGAATATCTCCTGCGACGTCGAGACCCTTAACGTCGGTCGCCTATAAATCCCGATAGGCGAAATAGGGGAAGGACGTCGCGATTTTGCATGCTCCTCGCGTTGCGAATAATTTTGTAATCGCAGGAAATTTAGTGTTGGTAGACCGCGACCGGCGTAGATCATCAGCGAACGCATTCGATGACCCCCTCGTTACCGAGGAGGGTCGTCGTCGTAATTCACGAGAATGACGATAGGGTGACCGATGACACAAGAGACGCCGACGCGTCGTTTCGCGTCGGTATCATCGATCCTCGTTATCGAGACCGGAAACGTCCTCGTTGGCCCGGCAAAAGACCGGAGGCATTTTTGCGAACGAATCCCGCTGCGACTTTCCCCGCCGAAGGGGGAATTTTATTGCCTTCGACACCGAGATCGAGTACTAGGAAAGTTTCCTCATTTTCCAACTTCCCCCCCGCCGGAGTTTTATTTTACTTTCGGATGAAAAACTGAAATAATGTCATGCGATAACGGAGGATTCCTCCCCGGCAGGGTACGGAGCTCCCTTAGGCGCGCGTAATCTCTTTACGGCATTAATCATTGTGGTTAACATGGCCGGGTAATTGCGACAACTCCCCGGGAAACTAACTCCCCGCGAACGACGGGACTTACCGTAATCGTCCTCGTAGATAACGGCGACTTTGGTCCAGTTGAGGAACGCCATTACGTCGCGGTAGGCGTTATTGAGCAGAGTTTGTGCGGGATGAAGGTTGATGCTGAACTCCTTGGCCTCGGCATCCAGGTCCAGCCTGGCTTCCAGATGCGGAATGTCCAGTGCGTCGCAGATGCTGTGAATGTGCTGTCCCAGGATAGGATCCGAGGGCCCGAAGACGGCCTGCACGCCGAACTTGACCTGCTGGCAGGCTGAATCAAAGGTAAAACTTCATAAGGTGAAGTGAAACCCCCTTCAAATCAGTCGATTCTAATACAACACTTTTTTTTTAAGGGTATTAGACCAAACTGTCCGAAACTTGACCTGCTGGCAGGCTGAATCAAAGGTAAAACTTCATAAGGTGAAGTGAAACCCCCTTCAAATCAGTCGATTCGAATACAACACTTTTTTTTAAGGGTATTAGACCAAACTGTCCGAAACTTTGACACACCACTCCTGATCATCTAAGAATTGTCCTGACACATTGAAAATTTGGATTTTTCAAAAGAATTTTTTAACTCAGTCCAGACCAGAAGCAAAATGGCGTCGAGCTCTGATATTTCGATCGATATACAATTATCGAAGGCTCTGATATGAGAATCGAAAGGGTCGGGACAATTTTACGAGAATTTAGAACACTTTGATAATCGATAAACTCGCATTTGAACGGGATAAAGGCAAAAAAAGTGTTGTATGCGCTTCTATGCTAAAACGATGGTAATACGAGGTCTCGGAGTGAAAATTTAATTGACCTGGAAATCACAGATGGCGCAGGGGGTCCCTCCGCAGTCAATTAGGGCCCCAGAAAGCATGAATCCAGAGGATTTCTGGAGTTTTACTTAGATTTCTTTATAATTATTCTACGAAAACGACAGGTGGAATATGCCATTTGGTACAATACACAATATAATTCGACCCAGCTGTAGATATAAAAACCAACGTCGGCGACGTAGGCATTTAGAAAAATCTTCTTTATCGACGTCGATCAAGTTCCTCGACGTGTTTCACTTCGCCTTAATGTACCTGAAACGTCCACGAGAAAAGCGAGTACCAGATCTACGGTCCCGAAAAAAAAAAGAAATCACAATTTTACACGTTTTATTTAAAAGGAGAGGAAAAAGGAGGATGACTCTTCTGAATATTGCTAGCGATATAAATTCTCCAACTTGGTCGCGGGTCGCCACAAAATCCTAGAGATTACCCTCGAACGTTAACCTTTGACCACGCTCCCTGGAGGGGTCTTTGCGGGGGAAGAGCCGGTAATTTTCGGCGCGATAATGCAAGATAATACGAGATAATACAAATGGGGCGGCGTTAATACGTCGAGAGGTCGTCGCGGTAACGTCTCCTGACTTCCGGCGTTGGTTCCCGTTTGCGGATATAACGCGCGCGGCGTTTTCAGCCCGGAGCTCCCGGGAGTTTGGTCGGTGGTTGCGGTATGGATAACGCCATGGATATGTCGAGCTTGAGGAGGTGGAGGAGGTCGAGGTTGCGTAGGCGCGCGAGAACGGTAGATACGAGTTCGGGGGTTATCCGGGACTCGGATTTAAGGGGGTTGTTACGGCCGACCTGGGCCCTGTATACCCGGAACGCGATACGCACAACGAGCCCTCCGTACCCTCCAAGGGTAAGTGCTCCATGGTGTACGGTACATAGATACGTCAAACTTAAACGGCCCGCCTCGAGGACACGAGGGTAAATCGGGGTTAAGCGAGCCCAGGGTCTCTTTTTCCGGAAAGTTTACGATATCTAGACGGAGTCTCGCCTAAACGGTGCGTCACTTGCGATTCCTTCATTTCCATTTCGAGATTTATTCCGAAAAATTCCACGAGTGCGTTCCCCGGGACGGTCTCTCCGTCGAGAAGTCGCAACTTCGCCCACGGTCGGATTAAGGGGGGATTTTACTTTAATCCAATCTGGGAGAAAGGTCAGAGAGACGAGGCTTTTCGAAAGTAGCCATTGCGACGCGTGCGTGTTTCTCTCTTTTTGCAGAATTCGAGCATTACTGGATTCCGTAGGTAGGTGCATTTCGAGCGGAATCCAGAACGGTTGGCGAAATCGCCGGTGCTGGGCTAGGTAAGAGTATTTCGTTTGTTTAGCCGGTGTCCTTTGCCCGATCCCGGGATTTGCGCAATTAACGCGCACCTAGCCCTTTGCGCTCGTGGGCACCGAGGGCGTTCTCGGTGCTCTCGCGAAAATCCCCAGATAGTCTCGAAGGATTTTCTCGTGGGGTCTCCTTTCTCCTGCTCGGCGAGTCGATTAATAATGTCTTCGCCGTTTCTCGGCGGCGAGGAATTTCTGGAAACACAACCGTTCATAATAAATCAGGTCCCCGGGGGGTACTCCGTTCTCCCCCGGCATGTATGCCCCTGGTATTTCACTTATTTTTTAATATCTCCCGCGGCTCCTGCTGAAAAATCGAGGGAGGTTAAAAGGCGGCGTTCGATTAGAGGGAACCCCCAATCGTTACGTGACTCCTGAACGGAATTGGAATCGATTCCGATGTCGTTCCTCGGCGATAACGCTGCCTTGTCGAGCACTCGAAGGAGAGCTAGTCTCTTCGGGTATCCGGTATAATCGGATAGTCGCATTCCCTGGTGGTTACTACATCCGAAAGAGGCCACTAGGGGAAACCAGTTAAGTTCCGTGGGGACTTTCCGGGAGACGTCTCCGTTGAAATATCCCCGCGTCGCAACGGACGTTTCCAGGGAGCCTTTTTCCCCGTGATCCCGAGGGGGAACCTAATAATGCCGTCTCTTTCGGGCGAAAAAGACACGGACCTGGTGCTTTCAGACCCTTCGAATACCTCGCCCCGGCGAATGCGAATCGCCCGGAATTTCAGATATTTTTCAGAGTCCCGGACGAGTCCGAGGATTCCGCTCGAAGAGGAAGGAACCCAAAAGAGTTCCTTCGAGATTATCGGCCACGATAAACTTTCGCGTCCCCTGTAAGCCACTCGGTTACTTCGGTGCATTTCTTGTCCTCGAAATGTTTCCAGGATGAAATCAGGCCTTGCGCGATATCCCGGACGGAAAGATGCCTTTTTGAAAGTTTCAGAGAAGCCGCGGCGGCTTTGCTTCCTTCTCGGGGCGGTTACAGGACCTCTCAGGATTGTACGGGAAACGATCCAGATGGAATACGAGACGCATCCTTTCTTCAGTTTTTATCCCATCCAGCGTTGGAATTGCATGCGCGAGCGATTCTCTCGGGCTTGCAAGCGTTATATATCCTGTTTGCGCGGAATATCGACAGCCCCGCGGGTTCGTCTTTATTCTCCGGCCTTCACGTATCGACGTATTAAAATTAAATGACGCCCCTCCTCCGAAATGGTCGCTGTATTATCTTTGTGCATAATGCGTACCGGGACGGGGCACAAAGCGCGGCCAAAGCGGATAAAAGGCGCCATTCGAGCGGCTTTCACGAAGGCACGGGGTTTGACGTGGACCGAGTTTAATTCGCGTTAACAATTTGAAATAAAAATCAGGGCAATTCGGGGATCCAATGGTTTACGGTGCAAGTGCCAGCGAATTGGATACGCCGATTACACTTCCGCTCAAACGGCGGATTTCTCTCTCTTTTCGCGCGACGCCTTCTCGCCTGATTTTCCTCTCATGTATCGCCGATTTTTTCGCCCGAATGAACACTCGGCTTCTCTTCGAGATGGGATTGGATCGCCCCAACTGTAGAAACCGTTGCATTTAATCGAGGGGAACGAGGAGAAGAATAAATGTCGCGTACTTGCTTTCTGTCCGTTGAGAGAAAAGATTATTTTCAACGTTACATTCGATCGTCAATTTTACCTGTATTAAAAATGGAGAATTCTTTGGAAGGAAGTGGGAAAAAAAAAAAGAAATTCCCTCGACCTTACCCCTGATCTATAAGCATCGATGATGTGCCACGTGGAGAACGAGGTAGAAGGAAACCTATTGTTAAGGCTCGGGAAATTAGCCTTCACCAAGTTGGCGGAGATCCCCGCTAATTTCTAAAAGCGTTCCCAGCAACGAAAGAGACAGGTCACACCCCTTTCCAGGCAGCTTGGCGGGTTCTCATTAAAATTTCAAAGTGTCCGACCATTTTCCTTCCTGCCTCCTCGGGGGGCACCGGGTACTTCTCTCAACTTCTTCCCCTCCGACGACATTTTCGAGTAGCCGAGCTCCTCGTTAATTGGTTATAATCGCGGATTAGTCCGGAGAGGAGGACCACTTCGGGGCTAACTTTGCGCCCACGGCTCGATCCTGCCATTTTGCCCAATCAGAGCTAAACGAGAGTCGCGGCCGGTAATCCTTTCAATTCCATGGGTCCTCTTCGTGGTACTCTTCGCTCCTCGATCGACGGGCAGAGATCGATCGCGCGGTTTCGTCGAGCCTTTTCGACAAAGGGTTCTCGAAGAACAGGCCGTCTCCTGTATATGGCAAATCGCTCTCTTCGGGATTGATCCGAAAGCCGGTGCTATAGTCCGGTTAGAGGGACTCGACGAAGGCGCCAAAAGCGGAGAGAACTCGAAAAGATGCCGAAAAGCTGCTCTTGACGTGTAGCATCGTCGAGATTCGACGTGACGTCCGCTTAGGGACTCGGCAGAATCCTCAAGAATTCCGGAGACTGCGGGTTAACGCTTTTCTCGCCCTCCGGCACGATTATTATGCATCCTCGGTGCTTCCGCGACGGTAAGTGCATCTGACGCAGCATCGATGCCGATTTTCGATGCTCGAGGTCGGCGTGATGGTCCTGGCCCCGAAAACGAAACCCTCACCGACCAGTCTTCCTCATCCGGGAGGAATTTCATAATTTTCTCGCAGCTGAAAATTTATTTTCCATTTTTGGATCACCCAGTGTCGCGCGGTTCTGGAATCTTCAAAGGGCAAGTGCTCGATTCTTCGGTTTTCGAGCCTCCTGGAGGGCTGTACGGGGTTTCCGCTTTTTTTTTTTCCCCCCCGATTAAATGGCGCGCGTGTCGAAAGCCCTTCCTCCATCTAACCCGGGGATTCGGAGTTTCTCGGATTTCGATTGGCCGCAAGTAGCTCGACGTTTCCGTCAAGGGCCCAGACCTATTTGCTCCCGTGGAGGGCCTGCCGGAAGATCGAAGATGAAGGAGGGTGTAGAGCCACTCGTCGGGATCGGGAACAGGCCATGAAGAGCAGCCACTCGAACACGTCACGTGACGTCACACTCTTCTCTCGATAAGTGACAATGCGCCCACCTTGGCACGTGTAGTTCAAATCCACCCGTGAGACCGATAATACCTACGGGAACGACGATCGAACCCTGGGATCGTTCCTTTCCGTCCAAAAACTCGGCCAAGGCCCGCTCGACGTCTTGGGCAAGGTGTCAAATTTTTCACGGCTCTCTCCCTTGTCGAGCGACACTCCGCCTTGGCACCCGTCGACGGACCTTCCTAATGAGATCGATAACGTCGACCGAGACCGAGATCGCGATTGCTCGGTTTGCCAGAAATTCGGCCAAGGCCCCCTTTAAAGCCGACTCCTCTTCGGAGGGTCGAGGAAATGCGAGGGGGTTGCAGAAAAAATTTCAAAAGCCCTTCGCGCTGATGTCGCACCATTTCTGTGGTCATTTTTGGGATAACAGAAAGTAAAGACAGGGACGATGCATGTGCACTTTCGGGTCGGTTCGTTGCGGGATCCATTCCGGATCTCCGGGGTCGGTTGAAAACGTTCGGTCGGTTCGGTTATCTCGCTATCAAATCCCGCTCCACGTTACGCCTGGCAAACGGGTGCAGTCGAATGTCCACCTTTTTCGCCGCCATTCGTTTCAACCGCTCCGGTGCAACCGCGTCGAGTGATAACTTTTTCTTGCATCGCTCCATGGCGGGCACTTAGGACTTTCGAATGTGCGCGTCCACCCGATACGTGCAAAATCGGGGCACAACGGGGGGAATAATTTCCCCCGCAATGAAGTCGTCGGTGGACAGCTAGAGGCAGGGAGAAAAAAAAAAGGGAATCCCACGAGTTCGGAAAATCCCGTAAGCCTTAACACGACAAACTCGCGGCTGAGTGCATCGGCGCATTTCCTCGACGGGGGGGAGAGGGAAACTTTCCTCGAGTTTGCTCGCTCGTTGCCGGCAGTTTGACAGTTTCCGCAAATGCATCCCCAGTTAATTTTTAAGATGTCCGGCCCGCGGTCGGCTCGGAAAGTTTCCGAAAGTGGCACCGAGTGTCAAGTGCAGTTCATGTACTTGGTGCCCCGGTAACTTAAACGCTCGGCCGCGCGTACACACGGAAATCGCACGTGTGAATTTCAATGACGGATTTTAATACTCGAGATTATTAAACCGGTTGCACGGGCCCCCACGACGCGAACGGACTTAAAATACTTGAACCTATTAAAATACGTCATTGTACGAATGATCCTCCGATTTTGCAAAAAAAAAAAAGGGACGTGGATAATTTGTTCAGGGCTCGGGGACTCAATTAGGGAAAATGCTGGAGTTTCGGGAAAATATCGCTGTTGCCCTCGGGGATGCACCTTGCGGTACGCGCAATTTGTAAATACGGAAAGTTACGAGGATTTCAGGATCTGTCGGCGACTTGGAGACGAACTTTAAGGAGCTTTCGTGAATCCTGGAAATTGCAGCCTGCCCTCCTCAGAAAGCGAGTAAATCGCGGGGGAGGATATCTCAGAGTCGATCGTCACTTTTGAGGACTCCCGGGGGTGGAGCGATGGGAAAGAAAATACGATCCCTGTACCCGCTATCCTGGGTAATCGACGGAAGTTTCTCTCCTGTTTAGAAACCGATAAAAAATGGCGATGACGCACCTCGCGAGGGACCTTTAGCCCCGCCTCAATTTTTTTCAAACTCAGACCTCCTCCCTTTTAATTTATACAATTTTTCCGAACAATTTTCTATTCCCTCCACGGGGTGGACACGCGAAACGTAATTTTCCCCCACGTCGAGGAATCCCTTGGATCTTACGTTTCGAGCTCGGTCGATTGGTCGATCTCAAGAAGTTAGTCGAGTCCTCTCTTCCGCCCGAAAATGGCGAAACTCCATTTATCCGCTTTTCGCGATATTGTCCCGACCGTCCAGAAGCAGATATTGAATTTTATACGGCCCATACGAGTTGCCGACACTCGAGTGGTAAACACTCGATATCGACTATCGATAGAATAGGTTCCATTCCTTCCCCCTTGCCTCTCCACGGTCAACTTTTTCCCCCTATTTTAACGTTCCCGAGCGAACGATAAGTGTTACTAGCTATGAAAGACTACCTGCGAATATGGACTCCAAGAATTCCACCCCGAACGTTTCCTTCCTCCCGGAGATGAAAATCGAGATCTGACTACCGCTAATAGAAATCTCACTTAAAATCATCGATTCGAGGCATTAAGGTGAAGTGAAACACGTCGAGGAACTTGATCAACGTCGATAAAGAAGATTTTTCTCAATGCCTACGTTGCCGACGTTCGTTTTTACATTGACAGCTGTATCGAATTATATTGGGTATTGTCCCAAATGGCATACTCCACCTGTCGTTTTCGTATAATAATTATAAAGAAATCGAAGTAAAACTCCAGAAATCCTCTGGATTCATGCTTTCTGGGGCCCTAATTGAATGCAGTGGTACCTCCTGCGCCATCTGTGATTTCCAGGTCAATTAAATTTTCACTCCAAGACCTCGTATTCCCATCGTTTTAGCATAGAAGCGCATACAACACTTTTTTTGCCTTTATCCCGTTCAAATGCGAGTTTATCGATTACCAGAGTGTTCTAAATTGTCGTAAAATTGGCCTGACCCTTTCGTTTCTCATATCAGAGCCTTCGATAATTGTATTGATCGAAATATCAGAGCTCGACGCCATTTTGGTTCTGGTCTGGACTGAGTTAAAAAATTCTTTTGAAAAATCCAAATTTTCAATGTGTCAGGACAATTCTTAGATGATCAGGAGTGATGTGCCAAAGTTTCGGACAGTTCGGTCTAATACTCTTAAAAAAAAGTGTTGTATTCGAATCGACTGATTTGAAGGGGGTTTCACTTCACCTTAAACGCGTTCAAGAAATTTCCCGGGCGAGTCTTGAATTTATTTATCATCAATTACCAAAGACCGGTGCCGGGCTTGGGACGAGGAGTTGAATGGCAACTCTTAACACGAGGATCGTAAGGGGAATTGGACGGATCGAGCAATTCCCACGGCTCATTCCTAGAACGATCGGTCAGTGGTGCAGTTAATCGGCATCGAGGTCAACCCCGAAGAGGGGACGAATCAGCGAGATTTCCAGGAGCCATCCCTCGGAGGAGGAGGTCCTAACTCATCGCGGAATAGATTCTTGAAAATACAAGCTCCCCTTTTTTTTTTTTTTCCATCCTTTCGCGAAGTACCCATCGTCGGGCAGGATGAGGTGGGAAGAGCCGGGAGAAAAATTATTCGGTAGGTAAACCATGGGGAGTGTTGCTCGAGGTTCGGATAATACGTTTCTGACGAGGCTGTAAAGCGAGCCAGACAATGCTGCTCGCGATGTGTGTAACGACATGGACGGGCCCAGAGTTCCTGGGCGCGAGCCTTGTGTATCCGATATCAGGATAATAATGTGTATGCCGCCTTAATAACGACCGCGACGGCCGAGTAGCCTGTTATCCTGCTCAGCTTATATTCCCGGGTGATAAATCCTCCTTAAGAGCACTTCCGGCAGCGGCCGAAGAGAGCCGCGCCATGTCGGTCCTTTTCGAAGAGCGGAAGTGAAGCCGGAGAGGGAGGAAAAGGAGAGGAACGAAGGGAGAACGCGACTCCCCCGAAAGGGTGAATCCCTGAGAGGCTAACGGCGGTAAAAAAGGTGCCCGAAAAACCGATCCTTCCCCCCCGAATTATCTAAATCAAAATAAATGGAATTTTATATGGCGCCTTTTAGCGTGTGGAAGGATCGACCGGGGTCGTAATCAGGATACATGAGACGAGGTGCAACGATGGGGTGTAATCGCGGGGTAAATAGGTATTACCATTTTGCAGGTGAACGGGGATTAAATTACTAGGCGATATATCTTGCGACGGAGCACTTCCGGTGTGGGTCCAGGTGAGCTTCCCCGGGTCGCGTATCCTTTAAAGCGAGAAAGTGAAGCCGGAGAAAGTGACAGGGCTCGAGATAGGGAAAGATGTTTTTTTTCCTTTTTTTTGGGGAAAGGAATCTCGCGGATTCGCGGGTTGGAGGAGTCCTTTGAACTTGTCCACCCTTTGTGAAAGTATTCCTGGAGTTCGTAGGATTATCCAGTTTCGAGGAGGGAAAACCGGAGGAAGAGGAAGGAAGAAGATATTCCTCCTGTCGAAACGTAAGGGAAAGTTCGGCGCAAAGGGTGGAGGGTGTAGGGGAAAGCTCGTAAAACTAAGGAATTCGCGGATAAATGGAAGGAACGGTCCGGGAAGATCGTGACCGTAAAGTGGGGTACTTCCGGCGCGAAATCGCCTAGGGACGGTTTCGAGGTGGAATCCGAAAATCGAGAACGAGGGGGGCGACTTACCCTTCTTGGACGCGTGGAAGGAATCATCTTTGGGCACGTATTGGATGTCGTAGACCAGGTTGGTCTTCGGCAAGATCACCTTTTCCTTGTTGATCTTGTATACAGCGTACTTGAAGGCCAGCTCCGTGCTGCTATCCTTTTGGTCATGAGTGAATATGGCACCTGGTCAAAACAGAACCACGCGTTAGCAAAAAACTCGTCAAACTCAACTACAAAAAAAAAAAGAAAGAAGATCCCGAAATAGCTAGATTTATGTCGAATAATTCTCAGCCATCCCAGAAGCGACTTCGAGCATCCCTACGGCTGGTGCACCCCCCTCAAAACGAGTCATTTTCGAAAATGCATTTTTTTCTGGAAATGCAGCGGCGAGGAACAATGCACATTTCTGTAAAGATATTACGGCGGGATGGTAAACGCGGAGCAGGATACGCGTTGACGAAGCGATGCAGTCTTCCGGCTCGTAAAACTTGGAAAGCCAGTTCTCGGGAACTCATCGGAGTTATATAAGACCGAGCAGGAGTTCTTGACTTCCGGTTACCGGTGGAATTTCGGAGGCACTGCTATTCCGGAGCAACGTAGGAGCATAATTTAGAGGCGAGCCTCGCGCCTCGTTCCGGCGGTCGAGTTCATCCGAATCGTTCGGCACGTACGCGAGCCGCAATTGCTGCTCGATGAGCCCACTTTGTTCGGGACGTCATGAAACAAGGTCCCGGTGGAGCGCTCATTAAAGCATCGAAATTAATAACGCGGGGCGAATGGAGAGCGCCTACTGAAAGGAACGGATTAAAATGCCGAGGCTCGAGGGATCTTTGAGAGCCGTTCGGAGGTCTCGAGGCGGTGTCTTTTTATCAGCGTATGAAATTCATATCGCGCCACGGTCCCGGGGACAATTAGCCGGCTCTCTTTATGCCGAGGAGGCTTCTCAGAGTGCCAGGGAGCTTTCGAGGCGTCGTCCGAACGTCCCTCGGCCTCCTCGAATATACATGCTCCCATTTCCGCGGTAACTCGCTGTCGAACCCCGAGGGCTGTTTATCCCTCGCGTCCTCGCTCGAAACGTTTTCCAAGATGCTTGGACACCTCGGTGTTCTTAACCCATAGCTCGTAGCGATGCGGAACGGAGATGAGCCCGAGATTAGCGGGATGAATGGAGCTTTCTTGATGGGAAACCGCTTCGAAATGGGACGCGGAGTTCTATCCGAGTCGCGCGTATCGAAGTTTCGGATTGAATCGAAAAATAAAAAGAAAAATATGAGGTAAACCGAGGGTCGAATTCCTGCCTTCGGCGGCTTTTTCACGGGACGAGGTAGATCGAGGACGCGGTTTCCGGGTATTTTAGGGAAAAGGATAAGAGTTTCCAGGGGACGCTTCCGAGACGCGGGATCCGAGGACGGGGTAAATTGTGCCCGTAAAATAAATAACCCCGAATCGAGCGACATCTCCGAATCAACCCTGCGTCCATTCGTCCCCGGCAAGTATCTCGGCTCTACTTTGCTCTTATTTCCTCGCCATAACTTGTCCATTTATCTAAAACGCGGAGTAGGTGCCCGGTAACTCTTCGCCCACCCCGGTTCCTCTGTTTTCCGAGTAGCGCGTTAAGTGCCTCGGTGGACGTGCTTTTTCGGATCTTATTTCCGTTCGGGCGATCCCTCTTCCGTGCAGGTGATTTGTCCGTAAAGGGCGGTTAAAGCTCGCCCCGTCTCGATAAAACGCTAAGTTACAAACGTTTCCAACGTTTCATCTCAGATTTAACAGGATGCCCGTCGTTTCTCATTTATCTTTATCTCCCCGGCGTAACTAATCCATTTATCCGGGAGGGAGTTAGTACCGGCTAAGCCTCGTTCACTCGAGTTCCTTTATTTTTCGAGGGCGGCGATAAGTGCCTCGGCGAGGTGGTACTTCTTTGGATTTTATTTTCGGCCCGGCGATCGCTCCTCCGTCTCCACCGGTGATTTGTCCGAGGTGGTTAGAACGGTCCTTCCTTTACCCTGCACCTTGGCTCGGAAGGTGTCGGTGCGCCCTCGATCACTACCCCCGAGTACACCGAAACCTAAACAAGAGGTCAAGGTTTGACGACGTACAGTTTCATACGGTTCGGATGAATTAAATCGTCCTGTAAATAACTCTAAAAGCGACCCAACATCCGCGGCTTCAATTTAAAGAATCGCGGCAATAATCGTATCCCACCGGGAATTATTATTCGAGTCCGCGTCGAGGAATGTCGCGTACTCGTTCACAGGTATTACCGGTATAAATTACCGGGGATGAAGAAGCTCGAATTAAACCGATTAATTATCCCTTTTAATTTCGCCGGATTCCCCGGTTTTCAATTTCGCCGGTTTCAGCGGGAGGTTTATTCGCGAGCCAGACATCCCGGTTATTCGGGCCCCATTCAGGGGGAGATCCCCAAGGATACCCCTGTGGCCATCCTCGCCGGGGCTAATCTTTATAATGCCTCGTAAACAGTGGGCGCAAAAGTGCGATGTAAAACCGATGCCAAGAACGGGGGGAAGTAACGCGACCTCGCGAGGTCGGCCGTCGAGAGGTCGCTCGGCTAATGAAAGAGACGCCGGGCAGGTGCAAGTGCTTCTTGCCCATTTTTGTCCCTTTTTCCGGCCAGCTACCTTCCCTTCCCCCCTATTATCTCGTCTTCGGGAAAAGCCGAGGAGAGAGCCCGGAAACTGGCGCCGTTGCTCGCCAAGGGGTAACTTTAGCTCGCGAGGTGGTACAGAGAGGCTCGCGGCATAAATCTCCCGCGAATTTTCCGACTCCCTGCCTTCCTTTGGCCTTATTCCGCAAGAAACTTTAATAACACGTGAAACGTATCGATGAGAAAAAAGCTTGGCCGGAGGAATTCCGTCGAACAGGTCGGAGGCGTCGCGACGCCATCGCCAGGGGCGAATCGCGTCGAGGGCCGATGAGGGTTGGGAAATTCGAGGGAATACGTTCGATGAGTTTCCACGAGTTTAGGGTGATTCGAGGAGTTTGCACCCCCTCAAACTTCCCGAGTCTCGCTGAGAAGTTCATGGAAAATATTTCTGGCGGGGCCATTTTTACCTTTTCAGATTTCCGCTTCTTGAGGTCGGGGTCGATTTCATCTTTCGCGAGACTTTGGGGACGAAGAAACGGGGATGGTAAGTGAAAGGCACCGGCGGGAAAAAGAATTCCTTTCGAGAGATTTCCCAAAAGTTGCCGGCCTCCCGCGAACAGGTGGAAATGGCACGATGCCATAAAGAGAAGCTGAAATCGTCTTAAGGGGTGAAAGGGGAGGGAACTTCCTGGAATGCGTTCAATGAGCTTCGAGAAGCTCGAGGAGATTGCTCGCATTTCCGCGACTCTCGCCGCTTTTTGGAAGAGGCTATTCGTCGAACTTAATGGGCCGATCGTATATCGATGATCGAAACCCTCCACCTCGAAAATAACCAACGAAAAATCCTCCTGACACTTTATAAAGAAATAGGTGCGAACGATTAAAATTCACGAGGGAACCGGCAATTACGGGATGGCACGTACTAGAGAAGAGCAAGTGCCATTGGAAAGCGATCAAATTTGAAATTAACACCGGCATTCGGAATTCCGAGCCGAGTCGTTTACGCTCTCTGCGATTATCCCATCGAAGGTCGATAAAGGGAGGGGGGGCGGCGAGGGAGGCTATATTCGATAAATCGAAGGAGGAAAATAAATTTTACTCCCCGCCGTAAGGACATTGGCCGCTGTAAAACGAAGACGTTTAATTCTCCCCAGAGCGATCGGGAATGAATTAAGGGGAGGCTTTCCGGGGTCGAAGGGAGTCGAATTTCTCCGGCTAATTCGCGTAATCTCAAAGGATTTCAATAATCGGGGGGGGGGGGGGGGGACGATCGGGCGCAGGGGGCTCGCAATTTCAATAATTAATCTTTTTCCCCCCTTTTCGAAAGTTCCTCTCTCGAGGTTATTCCGATCGGTCGATGCACGCGCAACGTATACACGGAGAAAACAAGTACCTCGATTTCTGGAGTTTTTTTTTTGTTGCCAACGGCGAATAGAAAGAGGTCCAAAGTTTGGCCACGAGGGAACCATTGAGTTCCGAAAGAAAGTCGGGAAATTCTCGAGTCCACGGGCGAGTCTAGAAAGAATTCCTGGGCGATTCCGATAGCCCTGCGCATTTCTGAGGTCGGGGAGTCAATTTTGACTGGCGTCCCTTCCGCGACGCCGACGAAAACGAAACTCTACGGAAACAGCTTTATCGCTCGAACTTTCCTACCGATAGCGCCGCGACGCGATAGATCCGATCCGAGTAACGACGACGCGGGAAAACTTTTCGGGGAGCTTTCAGGAATTTCCGGGACCCGCGTCCAAGTCTCGACGGGGGGCGAGACTTTTTCCCCCGATTTTATCTATCCACCGAAATCCACCTCGCCATTTTTGGCGACTTTTCAAATTACCACTCCACCCTTTAATTACTATTTTTTATTACGATAGCCCATGCCCGTAGGGCTTAAGGCGAAGGTCCCTTCTCTTCTCGTACTCGAATTCTCGAGCCCGGAGCTCCAGACTCGGCGTCGCGACGTTCACTCGATTTCCGCGAGCCATGGGATTCCTCTCGGTACGTAGGAATTCCCACGGCCGAGAAAATTCCTCGCGTCGATAGCGCCGTCTACCTGACCGGCGTCTCAATTCGAGCGACGCCTCGCAGGCGGCTGCGGATTGGAACCTCGCGATTTCGTCCCGCGACGGCGCCGCGACGCCTCCCCGCGGAATTACGAATGCGGCCCGTGACCGGCCTGCGATTTCGCGGCCATTACCCTGCCTCCGAGATATTCCGGGAATATCTTTTTCCTCTCCACCACAGGATATCTCGTAGAGTGCCTCGTATTATGCCGGAATTATTACCCCCCCCCCCCCCCCCAGGACTCGTGGCTTCCGCAATATCGGTTTCGCGCTTCCAAGTTTCGAGGAAAGCTCCTTCGAAGGCGGCGTCGCGGCGCCCCAGAGAAGCCGAAGGTACCGAGTCTCGCGCGCAACTTCGCAAACGCATATTCGCCTTATCCCCCGTGATTAAATTTCCCCCCCCGGGGAATATTAAACGCGATCATGTCCTCCCGAGGTGAGCTTTTTCTTCCCCGGGGAAGTTGCGGGGGATTATCGATAAGTATCGGGATATTATACGCGTCCATTATCCGATT